TAGAGTAGAATAGCAGATATGGCAATGGAGGGGGAGTCCTCAAATTTGGAAACGCAAAGGAGAACTGTACCTGGGGTAATGAGGGTAGGTGTGTTGGAGTCAGTGAGACTGGCTCAGAACAGGGAAGGCTTCAGGGCTGTTCTATGAGTCACAGGCACATAACAACAATGCCAGGATCCACTTATTCAGATAAACCTTCCTTTCTGGACAAACACAGGGTGTGTGGCTTCTAGACATCTGTCCCACCTAAATAAAGCTTCTTTGGCATCATTACACATAGACAGCAGACCCATCACGGTTGACAATACTGTTTCTCACACGGCCCTGACAGTCGGCCTTACAGCCAAAGCCAGTCCTCAAAAATAAGTCTATTGCTATTTTTTTCTCCTGGAATTAGGAGGAATATGGTCCTAACGGCATGCTTGCTTTGTTTCCAGTCCACGGTTCTCATATCAGCTTCCCTAAACATCTACAAAGGAAAAGGCCTATATTCCCCGTCTTAAGCTTGCATTCTGCCTGCCAGCAATACTTAAAGGTCCTGCTTTAAAGGCGCGCAAAGAAGGCAGGCGAGCTGGGCGAGCTGCAGACCGGAGGTGGGAGGCGGGGCTGCGGACTCCGGGTCTCGGATGCCCGTTGTCAAAGTTCTCACCTCCTCATCAAGGATTTCTATGATTTTAGAAATCATGACCTGTAACTGCTCCAAGGTGCCAGCTACCGGCCCTTAGGGGGCGGACAGCACTCTGGCCCCGGAGGCGCGGACGGGCTGAGCCCGGAGGTCGCCCAATGCTGGAGCAGTCGGGCAGGGAGGCCAGAGCTGTGCGGGAAAGCGGGAGCAGCGCGCCTGCACCCCCGGACACGAGTACCGAACGAAGAGGAACGCCTGCAGACGCAACACCCACCTCAACGGTCAGAAGCATCGTTGCCGCACGGCTCAGCTGGCCGGATGACGTGCACTTCCGGTTTCTGGGGCCCTCGGTGCCCTCGAAGAAGGGCTCCGTGCGACGACGACCGGAGAGCTGCACTTAGGGGCCGCTTCCCTTTGGAGTTGGGATCTGTCCTCTGCCTCTTTATTCTTCTATAACTAAAATTTTTATTTTAGTCTGGTTTACTTAAAAAGTTCATATACATTGTTTTTCACACCGGATCTTTCTTCTTTCCTTTACCCACCCCTCCCTCCACCTATCAATCCATGTGTCACCATGATGAAGCGTCCTCCTCCTCTCCCCACCTTGGATCCTCTTATGTGTTCTAACAGTAATGATCTTATACAGAATGTGTCCCCATAGGACTGGCTTAGTTCTCGTAGCATAGTCCTGTCCAGTCCCTCCCACGTTAGGTTATAATTCACAAAATCATGTAGTATTCCACTGTGTCAATGTACCATAATTTCTCAATCCATTACATTGTGGTTGGACATTTGGGCTGTTTCCATGTTCTTGCGATGGGGAATAACGCTGCTATGAACATTGGTGTATAAGTTTCTGTTTGTGCCTCAGTTCTCATTTTCTTGAGATATACTCCAAGCAGTGGAATAGCTGGGTCATACGGAATTTCTATTCTCAGCTTTATGAGGAAACACCAAACTGCTTTCTAGAGTAGTTGTACCATTTTTTTCCCCGTCTTTATTCTTCAACAACCTGTATTATGCAGATGACACAACCTTGCTTGCTGAAAGTAAAGAGAACT